TCATTTGTATAGTAATATATATTTACTAGAATTAGACATTGTTAAATTATATATATAATGTATTTACTTATTTAAATTATTTTAAATTTTTATTTCTTTTTATTTATTAAAAAATAAAATAAAATTTTACATAATTAATATTTAATAAAAAAAGATTTTTTTTACATATATACCTTAAAAGTATGTGTTAAAATGCAATAAATATGTTTTTTTATAATTAATTTATATAAAAAAATAGTAAAAATTTACTTTTATTTGAGTGTTATTTCATATAAACAATCTTAATTAATCAATTAATTAAATTCAAAATAAATTTTATTACTTTGGATATATATTAATTATAAAGATATATATTTATTATATTTTTATCTTACATTTTAAAAACACAAAATAAAAAATCTCAATAAAAAATCATATACCTATAAGACCGACCATTCTCCACACTATGAGGTAAAAACTATTTATGATCTCGTCAAAAATTTTCATAAAAATTCTCATTTCCTATAATTAACAAGTGATAGGGGCTGAAAATGAAAATGGAGATGGGAAGTATATATTTTAAAATAAAAAATCTTATAGTTAAAAAAAATTTTATTTTATGTTTTAAAAACACAAAATAAAAAATCTTAATAAAAAATCATATACCTACCAGACTTATCATTCTCCAAGCTACGAGACAACAAGACAACGAGTATTTATGATTCGTCAAAATTTTTCATAAAAATTCTTATTCCTTATCATTAATAAGTGATGGGGTTGGAAATAAAATTGGAAATAAAATTGGAAATAAGAATGGGAGGTGTACCTGCTTTTGTATGGAGCGTTATCATTTTTAGGTGTCACTTATTTTGAAAAGCTGTCATTAACCACCAGCTGTTGTCCATGTTAAAAGCCGCATCGTTATAAATTGACCTCTAGTGTAGCTGGTCCAACTGCTGTCGTTAAAAAGTATAAACAAATAATTTAACGTGCTACTCCATAAAGCAATGTTGCTCTATTCAGTTATTAGTGACCAGTTACCAGCATACCTACAATATTTTGCATGTAACATGACTATGGTAATTTGCATCTAACAATACACTTACTATAATATTTAACAAAAATATTTAAATATAAATTAAAATTCACTTATATAAAAATTACATATATTAATTACACAAAATTTTAATAATTTATTTTTATTATAAATTATTATAATTTTTTTAAAAATAATTATTTTAAAATATAAAATAAAAATAAATAAATCTTAACTAT